TCTGAGTCGTTTCTGTTGGATAATACGACGTCGGGGACCTGGAAGGATTGAAACCATTGGGCCTGTTTGGGCGTGTTTGGCCTTCTCGGGGCCCCTCGTCGCCCCGGCTGGATTGAAATTCAAATTCAGGTCAGGAAAACCCTCTGGGCAGATCCGATAACCCCATGCTCACGATAATAAACACTAGGGGATAATAAAGTTCGGGGTTCCGGGGGAGATAATCAAAGTAGCCCACCAGACCTCAGCATAATCTCGAAGTAAGAGATGATCAAGAGAAGACCAAACCGAACACGTTTTGAGACATCCTTGGCGTTTAGTCTTCATTACAATATCCTCAACAATGGCTTATCTCGCTGGAGACATCCTCGACAAATCCCTTGTTTCGCTTGAGACATCCACAAACTATTGCTTATTTCGCTTGAGACACCGTCAAAATATTGCTTATTTCGCTTGAGACATCCTCGAAATAATTGTGTTTTTCGCTTGAAACATCATCAAACTATTGCTGACTTCGCCTGGACATCCTGAAAATATTGCGTATTTCGCTTGAGACATCCTGAAAATATTGCTTATTTCGCTTGAGACACCGTCAAACTATTGCTTATATCGCTTGAGACATCCTCGAAACAATTGTGTTTTTTATTCTCGAAGGTCTCATTGTCTGGTTCTGCTCTCTGAGCAGCCATCTGCTTGAGCAGCTCTGCTTCAGCAGCTCACCTTGAGCAGAGAGAGAGATAGTGAGAGAAAGAGGAGAGAGGGAGGGAGAGAGAGAGAGGTGAGACTCTCTCTCTCTCTCTCCCGCCGTGCGCTCCTCTGAGGTTTATTATCGTCGGCAGTTTTGTATCATCGGCTGAGGTTTATTATCGTCGGCAGTTTTTTATCATCGGCAGTGGTCAATCGCAACTCCTGAGCTCTCCCGGAAGACGGCGGCCCGAAAATGATACGCATTTTTTGAAAAATTTCATTAAACAACTTTTTTTTAATTGCGAATTCCATTGTAATCCTTTCAAAATTGCGAAATCGAGCCGTCAGGCGCTTGAGTGCCACATTGCGTTCGAGATTTAAGCACGCGACGCATTTATGAGAAATTTGCGTCGCACGCGCTTTTGCCCGAATATCGAACGCAGTGTGGCATTCAGGCGCGTGCGGGTTCGAATTCGCAATTACGAAAGGATTTCAATGGAATTCGCAACCAAATATAGTATTTGTTGTCAAAATAAGGTTTTTCAAAAAAAAAAGCGTGTCATGAGAAAATTGCGTCGCACACGCTTTCGCCTAAATCTCAAACGCAGTGCGGCATTCAAGCGCCTGGCGGCTCGATTTCGCAAATTCGAAAAGATTTCACTGGAATTCGCAATTAAATAAAATATATTGTTGTTCAACATGAAGTTGTTCAAAAACATGCGTATCATTTGCGTGCCGCCGTGTTCCCGGAGAGCTCAGGAGTTGCTATCGACCACTGCCGATGATAAAAAACTGCCGACGAGAATAAACCTCAAGAGGTTGTGCTGAGGGGTTGTGCTGCAGGGTTGTGCTGGAGGGTTGTGCTGGAGGGTTGTGCTGGAGGGTTGTGCTGGAGGGTTGTGCTGGAGGGTTGTGCTGGAGGGTTGTGCTGGGGGGGTTGTGCTGAGAGAGAGAGAGAGAGAAGGACAAAAAAAGATAAAAGAGATACATATATATATAAGAAAGATATACCACATTTCGCAGAACAATAAAAATGAAAAATCTTATAATAAAGAAGAAGAATAATAATAAGAATAATAAGAAGAAGATACGATATATAGAAAGAAAGACAGATAGAGGAGGAGGAGGAGGAGGAAAAACAAAAAATTCAAGTTTCAAATCCACCATATTGTATTTAGAAACGCTTTATGAAAATTGAGAAAGAGAGAGAGAGAGAGAGAGAGAGAAACGAAGAGGAGATAATGAAAAGCAAGAGAGGAAGGAGAGGAGAAGAGGAACGGAGAAGACAGGAGAGGAGCAAGAGGAGAGAGAGATAGAGAAACAGAGAGAGAAAAAAGACAGAGAGGAAATCATAATATATAAAAACATATCAGATTTTCCATGGATAATCAACCCCAGGGATAAACAAGTTCAGGGGGGCATGGGGGGGAGAGAGACAGAGAGATAGAAAGAGAGAGAGAAGAAATAATGACAATGAAGAGGAGATTCAAGAGGAGAAGTAGAAGAGGAGAGGAAGAGGAAAAGCAAACATTTCCAGTTCCAAATCTATCATATTTTATTTACACACGATTTATGATTTCTTTTAAAAAAAATAAAACAAAAAATAAACGTGCTCGTGTAGGAGCTCATGTGCCTCACTTTCCGTGGATAATCAACCCCAGGGATAAACAAGTTCAGGGGCGCATGGGGAGAGAGAAAGATATAAAGAGAGAAATAAAGAAACCAAAGAGAGAGTTGAGGGAAATACATAAAAGAAATATTAGAAAGGAAAAGGACAAGAAGAAATGAGGAGGAGAAGTAGAAGAGGAGAGGAAAGGAGGATAAAACAAAAAATCGGAAGATTCAAATGTATTAAATTTTTATTTCCAAACGCTTTATGGACATTGAAATTTTCAAGTGCTCGTGTAGGGTAGCTCACGTGCCTCACTTTCCGTGGATAATCAAACCCAGGGATAAACAAGTTCAGGGGGGCATGGGGAGAGAGAGGAAAAAAAAACAAATAAAGACATATATAAAGACATAAAAATATAAATTAAGCAAAAAGAAGGAGAAGAGAAGAGGAAGAAAAAGAGCAACACTTTCAAGTTCCAAATCTATTAGATTTAATTTACAAGCGCTTTCTGAAAATTGTTTTTTTTTTGAGTGCTCGTGTAGGGTAGCTCATGTGCCTCACTTACCATGGATAATCAACACCAGGGATAAACAAGTTCAGGGGGGCATGGGGAGAGAGAGAGAGGAACAAAAAGACAGACATAAAGAAATATATAAAGAAATACAAATATAAATTAAGAAAAAAGAAGGAGAAGATAAGAGGAAGAAAAAGAGCAATCCTCGAGTATATGCTTGTTTCGCTTGAGACATCCTCGACAAGCTTCTCGAATCGCTTGAGACATCCTCGCAGAATTGCTGGTTTCGCTTGAGACATCCTTGAAACATTGCTCGTTTCGTTTGAGCCTGCCTCCCAAAATTCTTGGTCTCGCTTGAGACATCCTCACAGAACTGTTGTTCTCGCTTGAGACATCCTTAAGAAACGTATCGTTTCGCTTGAGACATCCTTCAGTATATGCTTGTTTCGCTTGAGACATCCTCGAGTATATGCTTGTTTCGCTTGAGACATCCTCGACAAGCTTCTCGAATCGCTCGAGACATCCTCGAGTATATGCTTGTTTCGCTTGAGACATCCTCGACAAGCTTCTCGAATCGCTTGAGACATCCTCACAGAATTACTGGTTTCGCTTGAGACATCCTTGAAACATTGCTCGTTTCGTTTGAGCCTGCCTCCCAAAATTCTTGGTTTCGCTTGAGACATCCTGAAAAAAGTCTGATCGCTTCGCTTGATGTTGCTATTTCAACATAACTTGATCTTGCTATCTCAACATAACGTTCCGAGGTGATAATGAAGTTTGGCCTCCGCGCCCCGCGCCCCCGACCAAACTCTTATTGGTCGAAGATAAAAAACTCTAACGACTTAAGGGGGGGGTACATTATTATCGTGGGCATGGGGATAGCACTTCCTTAATGGAGAACTCAAGTTCAAGACGAAAGGGCTCAGCCATCTTCGTCCTGCCGGGGGGCGGTCTTCGGGTCGAGAGGGGGCATCATAGCAGCATCCTGGATGAAAGCTGGTCTCAATGGAATGAGTCGAGATGCCCAGGGTTTCCGGGCCATCGCACCCGCAGTCCCCGGCCCGCTGCCCAGCCGCTCGAGACATCGGCCCCCAGGACCTTGATCCTGGAGCAGGCCCCACAACGACTCCCACGCTGGGCCCAACTGCAGCGACGAGAGCACCCCCGCGGGCCTCCCCACCTCGACGCATGATCACCCAAACCCGTCCTCGGGTTTCTCCTCCTCCACCTCATCCTCCTCCCTTATCATCATCAGCATCATCAATATCATCAATAGGGTCATCATCGTCATCATCATCATCATCATCATCATCATCATCCTCATCATCCTCATCATCCTCATCATCCTCATCCTCCTCATCATCATCATCATAATCATCATAGTCATCATCATCATGATCATCATCATCATCAGTATCCCCTCCGCATAATCAGACTCATCAGCAGCATCATTACCATCAGCATCATCATCATTAGCAGCATCATCAACATCATCATCTATCCTCCTTCTCCGCCTCCTCCAAATCCTCCTCCTCCTCCTCATCATCACCATCATCATCAGCATCGTCATCAGCATCATCATCCTCATCATCCTCCTCATCATAAGCCTCCTCCTCTTCATCATCAGCATTATCATTATCATACTCAACATCAACATGGGCATCAGCATCAGCATCAGCATCATCATCATCATCGTCAGTATCAGCATCATCATCATAATCATCATCATTATCATCATCAGCACCAGCGTCGCCATCAACAACATCATCACTATCACCACCACCATCATCATCACCATCATCACCATCATCATCATTATCACCACCACCGTCATCCTCCTCCTCCTCCTCCTCCTCCTCATCATCATCATCATCATCATCCATCCATCCATCCATCCATCCATCCATCCATCCATCCATCCATCTTCCATCCATGCATCCATCCATCCACTCCTCTCCAACTGGCCCTCCCTTTCCTTCCGTCCCTCCGTCCAACTGTTCTTCGATTCTTCCATCCTTCCACCCCCCCGCCTCTCCTCCTCCTCCTCCTCATCCTCCTCCTCCCCCTCCACCTCCTCCTCCTCCTCCTCCTCCTCCTCCTCCTCCTCCTCCTCCTCCTCCTCCTCCTCCCCTCTCCTCTCCACCCCACACGCGCCCTGAGGGCCGCCCACCCTCCTCCCACCGCCACCCCTGCGGGACCGCCGCTGCGCACGCCTGTTCTGCCGCCTGCGCCCGCCCCCCGCGCGGCCTGCGCGCGTCACTCCCGGTGCGCCGCGGGCACGCTGAGCACGGGCACCCCGAGCTCGCGCGAGACCTCGGAGGCCGCCCAAACGCAGAGCTCCGACGCGGCTTGGGTCGGGCAGGTGCTCCTACGGGCGGAGCTTGGAGGAGAAGTGCAGGACATGGCCAAAACAAGTGCTCGGAACCAGCCGAAGACGGCAGAGAAACCGTCCCCAGACTCTTTCTGGACCGTTTTGAATAGTCCTCCTGTTGAGGGACATGCCCGACTTATGACGACGTGCTTCTTTCAGTCCGGGCGTCTCTCCTCGATGTCGTCTCGCGGGGCCCGTTCTCAGGCCCCGGGGCCATGAAAAAACGCATCCGGGGACGAAATGCTGCCCGCGGGGGAGGGCTCGGGCGCTCGGGGCCGCGGACGGAACAAACCACATCGGGGTACGTCTGGGAACAGGGCCGACGCAGGTGGGCTCGGTGGATCGTGCCCCATCGCCGATGCACCAGCGACGTCCGTCGGCGTGGAGAAGATCGTGCTCCACGCCGACCCGCAGCGCCGATGCATCGGCGATGCATCGGCCAAGCGGCGGGAGCCACCGCCCCCATCTGCTTCGAGCCCACGTGGGCGGCCTGGAGACGGCTCGGGTCCAGATCCGCTCCAGATCGGTTCCCAGACCCCTGCGGGAGTCCAGCCTGGCCCCTGTTTTTGCGACGCGGATCCAGCCGTCGCGGCGAGAAGCCTCCAGGACGCCCCAGAAAGAAGGAAGAGACACCAGGGAGGGCCGCAGTGGTCTTGTGGATGCCAGGACAATGGACACTCTATCAGTCCTGTCGTTGAAATAAAAGTGTGTGGTCCATATTTGTGAAGAATGGCTTAGACATGTGCTTAACATGTTTCTGCATGTTTACAACATGTCCAAAACAGTATCTAGACATCTGAGAAGTATCTGGCAACACGCCTCATCTCCGTTGATCGTCTTCCGCAGCGTTGGTCTCGACTGCCCCGTCCTCCTGGCTGTCTTCGGAAGATGTCTCGGGCCTCAGGAGGCCGTTCTGGACGATTCCCGCATCCCCTGATTTGGACACCCGAAATGGGTACCGAAAGAATGGGCACCATGCCCAACAGCAATTGCTGTCCCAAACCAACAGCGGCCGCTGTTGGGCGGGCGGCCTCCTGTCTCGAATGGACACAGGCCGCGGCGGCGTGGACAGCGGATCTTGTCCAAAATGAACAGGAACTGCTGTTGGGCATAGTACCCATTCTTTCAGTACCCATTTCGGGCGTCCAAACCTGAGCGCCCGCGACGAGGCGCACCCGACGGGAGCCACCCCGGGTCCCGCAAAACCTCCGAACGCAGAGTTCGAGCTGAATGGCGTCTTCCAGTTTCGTTTTGTTCTCGTGGTCCTGCGCTCTGTCTTCGCCTCTGCTGCAAAACGAAATAAGAACGACATCGAAACGTCAACGGTCCACGACAAAATCGCCCAACACGCCGTTGAGCCCGAGCCCTGTCCGAAAACCTGTCGAAAGCCTTCTACCCCATTGAGGCGGCCTACTGTTAGGTCGGGCATGTCCTCCTGCAGGCGGATCTTGGACGAAAAATCAACAACAGTGACAAAAATACGCACAGGTGATCAGAAAAGAACCGACACATCGTCCCCAGACTATTTGCTTGACCATTTTTGAATATTCCTCCTGTAGAGGGACAGGCCCGACCTAAGCCTGCTGCCTGCAGGCACACGCCAACGAACACCGCGGCCAGGCCGGCCAGCTGCGCCGCCAGCGCCGCCAGCAGCACCTCAGGGGATCTTCTGACCCGGGTCGATCCAGATCCGGGCCAGCCAGGCCTTGCAAGATCCTGCAAAAATCCTGCTCCCAAACCTGGGCCAACGCGAAGGATCCTGCAAGATCCTTCGGGAACGGCCAAGAGGGGGGTGTCCAAGAGGGGGGGGTGCAAATCATGACCGGCGGCATGTGCGCGGCCCAGCGGGCGGGCCAGGGACGTAATGAAACAAGAAGAGGCGCCCCGAAACCTGGGAAATATCATGGCCCACGCCGTGATATCCACCCCCCCTAGTCATCACCCCCCTCTTTTCCGCTCCCGAATTCTGCAGGATCCTGCGCCCAAGCCCAGGCCGAGGCGACCCTGGCCTCTGCAGGATCCTGCAGGATCTGGCGGCGCCCTGGCGGACCCCCGTTTGCATTGGCCCCCGTCTCAATCGGCTACACGCAGGAGTGACCCTGGGTAAGAGTGACCTTTGGTGCGCGACTTTTTGGGGGCCGCGGGGGGACCAAACCTGGGCGCGCAAGCAGCTGTCTCGAGGCCTCCGAGCACCGGCAGCACCGCCGCCGCCGGGCCGAGCTGCCTCACCAGCGCGCCCAGCGCGCAGGGCAGCAGCGGGGCCCAGGGGAGGCCTGCTGTGGAGGGGCGCGCGTCGGCACGCCGGCGCCCAGTTTTTGGGGGGGGGGCCGCCAGCATCAGGTCGGGCATGTCCTCCCAAAGGCGGATGGTGGACGAAAGACAGCAAATACTCAAATATACTCCAAGAATTATTTCAAGAATCGTTGAAAACAGCGGCCCCCAACTGTGTTTTGACTATTTGGGAATAATCCTCCTGTAGAGAGACACGCCCGACCAGAAGGTGCCCCCGGCGGGGACTGATCCATGACCACCGCCTTTGGGACCGATCTTGAGGGACCTCGGTAGGCGGCGGATATGGATACACGTCGGCCCTCCCCAGAAGGCGCCGGGAAGGTCAGCTAGCTGCAACCAGTCGCCACCCCCTTGCCAGCGGCACAGCGCTCACGGCAACTGGCAAGAGGGACTGGGCACGTCCCGTCGGCACACTGCGCCCGGGTCATCCATTAGAAGCCTCCTACATGGAGTCGGAATAGATGGGGTCGAGGGACCGCGCCGCATCGCCGATGCATCGGCGATGCATTGGCGATGCACCGGCGATAGCGACGATGCATTGGCGCCGTCGGCGTGGTGCTAGTCGGGCTCCACATCGAGCCGCATCGCCGATGCATCGGCGATGTGGCGCGATCCTCCGACCCCATCTGTTCGGACCCCATCTAGGAGGCCAAGATCCATATCCACCGACCGCCGAGGTCCCCGAAGAAGAATCCCGCAGGCGGCGATCCTGCACAGTTCCCCGCCTCGGGGCCAAGGCCCTGCCCCGCCGCGCGGGGCCCAGGGCTCACGCGCGTGCCTCTTTCATGCACCGCCCCCGGGGGGCGGCTCCCCCAAGGCCCCCCATGGGCAGCGGCCGCGCTGTGGCGCGGCGGGGGGCGGGGCTGGCGTGGGGGTTCGGGGGAAGGCTGCCCGTGGAAAGCTCCCCGCGGTTGGGGTTCCGTTTTTCTGCTTGGCGGGGGGTGGGGCATCATATTGTGGGTTGGGCGGGGGGTCGCCCGGCTACGAGTTCTTTTTCCCCTCCCCCACACACATAGATGAACTTGCGACCCCAATCCCGCGGCGTGTTCTTTTGTCGGGGGGGGGCTGGGAACCCTCACAAGGGTCCAAGGACACCTCTAAAAACGCAACGGGGATTTAGGTGCTTCTGAGGAGGTGTGGGGGGGGGGAGGGGGGGGGGCAACGCCTAAACCAATGAGGAGGGTTAGGGGCAATATTTGGAATATGTGGGGAGCCCTACTCCTCAAACAAAACACGAACGGCGATATGCGTTTTTTGTTTTGGGGATCCCGAAAACCACTCCACCAAAAACATACGGAGAGTTTCGCAGGGGGTCCCCAATTGCCACTCCCTAGCTACAGCGTGGGGCTCTAGGCCAGAAGTCCTGCCACCGTGCCCCGAGTCACGAAGTGGAGTGTCCTCAGGTGGAGGGTGAAAAAGACGTGGGTGTGCTGGGCCGTAGCTCGTGGCCTTGCCTCTGTCGGCGTGCCAGTAGCACGTAGCCCGTAATTCAATTCATGCGAAGACCGGCGGCTGCCGCCGGCGAAACGCCAGGCTTGGGCGTCGGGTCAGCCGTTGTGGTGTGGGGGGGAGCGTGAGGGGAGTGTCCTCAGGTTCCTGATCCCGCGGATTCAACATGGAATTTTGCGCATGATTCCAAGAAGCCTAAGACCCAAATTGCCCGAATTGAAGGGGCTGGTAGCGGGATGCCTGGGGCCGCTCGCAAGAATCTCCCAAAAGCCTCGGAGCGTAATTTGGAGCCCATGCTTCCAACATGGCCCAAGGTGGTCTCAGGGCTTGTCCTGGAACCCTCTTTGGCGCATCTTAGGCTGTTTTGGACGCGCTCGAAGCTGGCCCAAGAGGCCGACATCACTGGAGCAAAAACGTGAAGCTCGTGTAACTCGTGTGTTTTGTACTCGGCTGATCGGTCTCAAGAGCGCCAAAGATGGCCCCCCAAGAGAGCCCCAACACGGTTCGCGAGGCCACCAAGAAGGCCCAATATGCCCCCACGACGACCCCCAGAGGGGCAACTCAAACTGATGCTTCGAGCCTTTTCCCCCAAGATGGCCCCCGAGACCGCAAAGAGGCGCTAAAGAAGCCTCCGGATGCACCCAAGAAACCCTCAGGAGGCCCGACGAGCCAAGACACTTCCAAGATGCCACCACGAGGCCTCCAGAGGCTCCCGAGAGGCCTCCCAAGAGACTCCACGAGGCAGCTAAGAGGCCTCTCGTCCACGACGCACACGGTGGGGGAATAGGCCGAAGCAGGCCGCTAGAAATAACTACTCACATCCACTCTCCCCCAAAATCCTGGAATATCGGTTCCCAAAGCGGTCGATACTTATAGAGGCCACCACCGGAGCCTGAGGGGTGGCCTCGTCGCCACAGCTGGACTCGCCGCGGCGCCCTGGTCAGCACGCCTCCGGGGAGAGGTCTGGGGAGCGGCGGTATCTGCTGCTTGTGGTTTCCCACCTGCTGCCCTCAGCCAGGCAGGGTCCCGAGGAAGACGGGCATATGGACCCCCCAGGGGCTCTCCCCCCGAAAACCTGCTCTTCCACCCGGCGCCGTCTCTGCTGACGGCCAGGGGCCCTTTCCCGGGAAGGGCAGGAGGCCGATTGGGCGTGGATTGCACGTCGGCCGGAAGAAGTAGGTAAAAACATGAAGTAGGAAGGCGGATAAACTAGATTGGGTCCAGGCCCTCCCAGATAATTACAGAACACAGCAAAAGCGCATCGACTCTTGCAGTAGGAGGGCGCTTGAAGTAGATTGGGATCCGGGGATCCAAAAATACATAGTTTCAACAACCGCTGCGCAATGGAGGGCGATAGTTGGGGGGGGGGGGAAAGGTACACTCCTCGGGTCCTCAAGGGCCCCCCTCGGGTCCTAAAGGCCCCCTTTCTGGCCCCAAAGGGCCCCCTTAGGGGCCCTCAAGGGCCCCTTTTCGGCTGCCCTCGCTGCACCCCCCCACCCCCCCTTATCGCCCCCCCATTGCGCGACGCCCGAGCCGAGAACGGCGCGAACTCTCCAGACCATCTGCCCTTGGGGCTCATCCGTTCGCCCCCGGGAGCGATTGACAACTCAGTCCCTGGGACCCTCCTGGCGTCCGTTCCAGCAGGTTCTTCGACCAGCCGTGGCGACGAGAGCCTGCAGAAAGGAACGAGACCCTCCGAGACGGAGGCGTCTACGTCGTCGTCGACGTCCCTTCCCTGAAAAGAACCCCTTTGGCTCGTGCTTCTCGGGCGAGGGAGCCTGGCACGCCCCTCCCGCAGAACTGGGAGCTCAGGATCAGCCGGACGGCGATCGCACCGAAGGTGGTGCCGGAGATGGCGTACCTCGCCATCGGGGCGCCGCGAAGGAACTCTCGATCGGGGCCTCTCTGCCTGGCTCCCGGACCTCGGACGACCCCTTCAATCGCGGCGAGTTTCCTCCGCGGCCTCTGGGGGCCACTGCCCGGGTCCCGGGACAAACGAATCGGCGGTGGACAAACCTCGATTTAGTAAACCTCCCTTTAGTAAAAGCGGACTGGGACCAAAACCGACGGGCCTGGACCCGCAAAAACAACGGCCGCGACGCCCCCTCGCGAAGCGAAAACGGCCAATTCGCTAATCGACGTGTCAGGGTAGGAGGTCTGTGCACCCCCGAACGAAAATGGGCCCGGGACACACAACCGATTGCACCCGGGGAAGGACTCGGTACCTGCGGGGCCGCGGATTGAAACACATGGAGCGGAGGCTGTCTGCGGAAACAGCGCCGCCTCTCGCACTCTGCCTGCCCAGGAGAGGCCGTGCCTGGGCTCCACGGCCATGAGAGAAAAGAGAGCGCCTCCTCTCCTCCTCCTCCTCCTCCTCCTCCTCCTCCTCCTCCTCCTCCTCTTCCTCCTCCTCCTCCTCCTCCTCCTCCCCCTCCTCCTCCCCCTCCCCCTCACCCTCCTCCTCCTCCTCCGAAGCTCGGGGTGGAGCGCTGGCTCGTGGGCAGGGGTGGAGACCTCTGGGGGCGCCGCGCGCGGAAGCCACCCAACGCCACTTCGGCGCCTGGGGCTCGCGGGCCCGCGGGCCCCCCCCCCCCCCGCGGAGACCTGCCCTGCTCGAGGAATGCCCCGCACACGTACGGTTAGGTCGGACCTGTCCCCCTTACAGGGGGATTTCCGACGAAAAATAAAAACTACCCCACAAACACTCCAAAAAGGACAAAAAATACTCAACAAATAGTCCCCGGACTATTTTTGGAGTATTTTTGCACTATGTTTGGTGTATGTTTTATTTGTCGTCGAAAATCTCCCTGTAGGGGGACACGCCCGATATAAACGTAGGTGGTCGGGCACCCCGGTCGCGTTTCCCGCATGCGGCGCTGCGGCCCAGGCTGTGCGAGTCCCGCCGCTCAGGCGGCGCGGGCGGCAGGGCCCCGGGCTCGAAGCCCCCTGGGCGAGGAGCGCGGGTCGCAAGAGCAAAAAAAAGATGAGGAAGCGAAGGGGGACCGATCTACATATATGTATATATATGCATACATCGTACGTGTAGATATGTGTACATATGCGCATTTGTGTATATGTGTGTTTATACATGCATGTGTACATGCATATGTAAATATCCATATATGTATATACAAGAAAACAGAATGTCATATTGCGACCCTACCTCGGAGTTGGAGCATTTAGGAAAGCAACATCTACATCTACACCGGCAGTTACATTTACATGTACACCTGCATCTACATCTACATCAACATCGACAGCGAGGCTCACATCTACATCTACACCTACAGCTGCACCTACATCTATATCTACATGTATACCTACATCCACATCTACACCTACATCTACATATACTATGCTATGCTATGCTATGCTATGCTGCGCTATGCTATGCTATGCTATGCTAAGCTGTGCTATGCTATGCTATGCTATGCTATGCTTGGCTATGCTTGGCTATGCTTGGCTATGCTATGATGTGCTAATGCTGCGCTGCGCTATGCTGCGCTAAGCTAAGCTAAACTAAGGTAAGCCAAGCTATGCTAAGCTAAGCTAAGCCAAGCTAAGGTAAGCTAAGCTAAGCTAAGCTAGGCTAGGCTTAGCTAAGACAAGCCAAGCCAAGCTAAGCCAAGCCAAGCCAAGCCAAGCTAAGCTAAGCTAAGCTAAGATTAGCTAATATGAGATAAGCTAAGCTAAGCTAAGCTGGGAAAACCCAGGGGGCGCAACTGGGGGAACCGCGGGGCGGATACTGGGGGAACCGCCCGGGGCGAGTTGTCACTGCCCAGCCCTGTCAGTTTACCGAGTAAGAACTCTTCTAGGCAGAGCCTAGGTAGGGAACAAAGAGAAAGAGAGAGAGAGAGAGCGCCCCCCCTCAAACCGCGAGTGCCTCTGAAGACCCCCCCCCCCCTGAATTTGCTTTCCGGCGCTCTTCTCCAGCCTCCAGACGGCCAAGATGGCCTCCAAGAAAGCTTCCAAGACATCCAAAATAACGCGAAAACGGACCCACATAACCCACGATTGCTCAAGAGGCTTCCAAGATGACATCAAGACAGCCTGAGAAGCGGCCAAGAAAAATCCAAGAGGCCCTCCCGAAGAGCCCGAGGAGGCGAAAACATTGATTTTGTGCCAGCTTACGTTCGAATTTCTGACGTGATCGCCTGTTTCGGTTTCCGGCCGCCCGAGACGGCCCAAGAGGTTTTGAGATGGGCCCACGTCAACCCATGAGGCGCCCAAGAGGGCCCAAGTCGGGATTGCCGAGGTGGTTCGGAAAGCGCTCCAAGACGGGCCTCAAGCAGTCCAATAGTGTACCAAAGCGGCCCAGAGAGGTCCCCAAGACAGCTTTCAAAGGGACCAGACGGACCAAGGGCATCTGTAGATGGCCCAGGAGGCCCACCTCCGAAAAGGCCCAGGAGGCCCCAAAGAGGCTTCCAAGAGGCGCTCAGAAGACAAATCATTTTGCTTCGAGCGATCCCCACCAAAACCTTGCTGGATGCGCTTCGGGCAATGCGGGGCCACCGTGACGTCGTAACGCCTGTAATGCATGTTGGGGCGAATGTGGAGCGCTTGCTGTAGTCATGGGATGCTCATATCACGATTGAAAAACCGTTTATTATGTTATGCCCTGTCCTGCTCGAATATACATGCATGTATAAGTGATGTCGTTTTATCATGTTCTGTTCTTGACGGGCCAACGTGACATCGCAAAGTCTGTCACGTGCGATACGTCACCGATTATGCTATGGCATGTCGGGGTACCCTCCGTACGATCACACGACCTGACAATCGATAATGTCCTGTGTCGTTTCTCGGACTCCCTTCTCTCTTACGCGTTGTCACGGTCTGTATGTCGGCACGCACGTTGCACCATCTCGCGCCACTCTGCTGGAACTTCGGCGTCGGCCCAGCTCTTGCTGCATGGCTCGACGGGCCACCTGCACACGGGCGTCCCAACAAGGCCGGTTTGTCTTTCAAGACTGAGGCGGGCTTACGTGTTTCCCTGACGCCCTGCCTTGCCTCGCAGCATCCGAGCAGTTGCCGTGGCGATCTCGTCTTCGGCGATGGAGCCACATGGCACAGCCAGCTCGTCACCCACGGGTTCCCCGTGGGGCGCCGCGCTTGTCGGCCGCACCGTCCGCTGGACTCTGCAGAGGTGTTCTGCCATTATGTCGGCGCGCTGGTCGGGGCTAAGCAACAAGAGAGGTAAAACATTATCTTGGCTTCACGTTATCCCCCTCCCCCGGACCTTCTGCACGGGTACGTCTTGACCAGAAGTTCAAATCCTCCCGTGGCGACGAGAAGCCTCCCATCGGATGCTCACGACGGACCGAAGGCGCCCAACAACTGTTCCAGACTCGGGCCTCGAAACCCGCAGGGCTCAACACAACTCTGGGCATGGGGGTCGAAACCAACGGCCCCCGAGGGCCGTCCTCAAGGCCGCGCTCTGACCAGGTTCCCAGGGCGGAGCTGGCCGCGGCGACGAGCAACTCCCCAGAGCCCAGAACCCTGAGATCCGACGTCGCAAAACAGGTGCAACATGGTGAAAAATCACGGCCAGAGCCACGTGGAGCCCGCAGACCCCAAGAACAGGGCGACACTGCCCAATGCGAAGGAAACTGCAGCGCCTAGATCCCAGGGGCCCCAGAGGGCTAGTTGGCGGCGAGTGCGGGTGGGAAGTGAGAAGGGGCGGGCCTTCTCAGAAGACTCGGCTTTCGGAGCCTTCCCCCCCCCGAAGACACAGAGCACTTCTCAGAAGGCGCGAGGGCTCCTGAGCAGCCCCGCCGCCCTCTGAGCAGGCCTCCTCCTCCCCGCTCCCCCCCCCCTCGCTCGCCGCCGACTCGGAGCGCGGCAACGACGAGCTGCTCCACAGGACGTCCGCCCGCGAGCCCCGGGGCACCCGAGCTGCGCGACGAGCCGCTGGCCGGGCACCTCCGCGGCCTGCGCCGGGGACCACGCGGCGCAGGCGGCGTGCGCCGCGCCGTTGAGCGCGAGGGGCAGCAGCGCCGCCGCCCACGCCAGGCACTCGCGCGGGGCCCCGCGGCGGGAGGCGCGCACGGAGCAGGCGACGATGGCCAGGCCCCAGAGGACCAGAGCTTGCCAGAGGTGTGGCCACCGGCACGCGGAGCCGCGCCCGTGCACCGCGTGCAGTCGGACCCCCCCCGGGGTGCGTGCCTGGCCATCGCTCGGACGTCAATTCCCTGTGCTTTGTTCGGTTTCGTGCGTGGTTTTGTCACCGTGTTGTGCAGTCGGCCCCCCCCCGGGTGCGTGCCTGGCCATCGCTCGGACGTCCCATCCCTGTGTTTTTGCTCGGTTTCGTGCGTGGTTTTTTCGCCAAGTGATCAAGGATGCTCCTCGATGGTCCTCGCCGGGAAAAAAAATGCACACGTCCGAGCGATGCCAAGGTGCGGCAGGCCTGCGGCCTGCGCTCGGGCTGCTCGGGCTGCAGCCGCGCTGGGCTGCCGGGACGGCGCCTCCAGACGGAGATGCAGGAGTTCCCCGCCTCGGGCCCCTCCCGAGGAGCCCGGCTCGGACCTGGACCAGGAGACCGGCTCGGACCTACAGGGCAGTTTTCAATACATAGGATGTTTAAACATATAGGATTATCAGTACATGTTTAATGTATGAATAAATTAATGCATGAACCCATCGTTGTTTTTAATACTAAATCCCTGCATGTTTAATACATGATCCGCACGCGGAGCATGTATTAAAAACGGCACTGTAGCCTGGCTCGGACCTAGACCTAGACCAGGAGAGAATCCCCGAGGGTGCCCTCCCCAGGGTGCACGAGAGCGTCCAGCAACTAGGAAGAACACCAGAGTATACCCTCCCCGCACCGACCCCGACCTTTTGTGCCTCGGCCCGATGCCTGGACTCTCTCTGCAGGCCCCGCTCCAGCGCGGTAGGGGTGCATGGCTCTGCGGCCCCGAGGGCCGACGGTGCTGTGCACCGTGCCAGCCCTAAGTCGGGCCTGTCCCCCTACATACAGGGGGATTTTCGACGGAAAATATAAAAAATACCAAAAAGATACACCAACAATACACCACAAATAGTCTGGGGACTATTTTTTGTATATTTTTCTACCTTTTGGTGCATTTTTGTGGTATTTTTTATCTTTCGTCGAAAGTCCTCCTGTAGGGGGACAGGCCCAACCTAATGCCAGTCCCAGGTCGGGGATCGACGACGCCTCGGGCGACGCCACCACGGCACGGTGCGCGCGCAAGTCATCCGCAGAACTGGTCCAACCCTCAGACAAGACGTAAGTCGGGCCTGTCCCCCTACATGAGGATTTTTGACGAAAAATAAGAAATACCAAAAGTACACCAAAAATCCGCCGGCCCCGTTGTGGGGCCACCAGGCTGTAGGCCCGTGATTCGCAGTTTCCTGTACCAGTCGTAGGTTGTAGTTTCCAGTGTTGCAGTTCTGCTTCTTGCTGGTTACTGTAACTAGTTGACTTATTGCTGATTACTGTAACTAGTTGATTGACCGCGCGAGGGGGGGGAGGCCCAAACCGGCTTTTTAGCACCCCCTGGGCGCGTTGTCTGAATTGCTGGGGGGGCTCGAAATCGACACCCCTCACGCAGATCCGCGGGGTCAGGGTCCAAAAACACAGGGGATTTCTGAAATTCGGTGCCACCCCTCACGCAGATCCGCGGGGTCAGGGTCCAAAAACACAAGGGGATTTGCCACATTTCTGAAATTCGGTGCCACCCCTCACGCAGATCCGCGGGGTCAGGGTCCAAAAACACAGGGATTTGCCACATTTCTGAAATTCGGTGCCACCCCTCACGCAGATCCGCGGGGTCAGGGTCCAAAAACACATGGGATTTGCCACATTTCTGAAATTCGGTGCCACCCCTCACGCAGATCCGCGGGGTCAGGGTCCAAAAACACAGGGGATTTGCCACATTTCTGAAATTCGGTGCCACCCCTCACGCAGATCCGCGGGGTCAGGGTCCAAAAACACATGGGATTTGCCACATTTCTGAAATTCGGTGCCACCCCTCACGCAGATCCGCGGGGTCAGGGTCCAAAAACACATGGGATTTGCCACATTTCTGAAATTCGGTGCCACCCCTCACGCAGATCCGCGGGGTCAGGGTCCAAAAACACAGGGGATTTGCCACATTCTGAAATTCGGTGCCACCCCTCACGCAGATCCGCGGGGTCAGGGTCCAAAAACACAGGGGATTTGCCACATTTCTGAAATTCGGTGCCACCCTTCACGCACATCCATCGCAAGGCGTGGTAACCCAAACTGCGAGAACTCCCTCGGCCCTTTAATCGCAAGGTGTGGTAACCAAGCCCGTAAACCATACACGTCTTACCAATCGCCAGGTGTGGTAACCCCTCTTGTGATCAGTTGGTTTTGCTGATTGCGAATCGGCTTCGCATGAAGTCCCACCAGCCCTTTGGGCGTGAGTGGTTTAGCGAGCTCTCTCTGTTCTCAACCCCCTAACCCCCTATCTTCCCCTTCGGGGAGGGGTTTACCCCTCCCCCTACCCCCTCCCCTGGACCTGGAGAGGGCGGGCCGAGTGGTGTCAAGCGGGTCTTTTTCGACTCCTGGGAGGGCCAAAACACGACGACCCTCACGAGGATTCTGGTCCCGAGGGGGGGAGACCGTTTGGTCCCTCAACTCGTCTTTGAAGCCAAAAACATTGATTGTACTACGGTGTTGGCCCCTTTTTGGCCTTCTGAGGGGGCCGCGCTCATCGTCCTTCATAGCAAAATTATTGATTTTACTAAGGTTTTGGCGTCAGTTTCTCCTTCTCAGGGGGTTAGGCTCATTTCCGCTTCTGAGGAGGTCGCAAGAGGCTCCAAGATGACCCCAAGAGGCCTCCAGGAGGCTCCCAAGAGGCCTCCAAGAGGCCCCCAAGAGGCCCCCAAGAGGCCCCAAGAGGTCACCCAGAGGCTCCCAAGAGGCCCCCATGAGGCCCCAAGAAGCTCCAAGAGGCCCCCAAGAGGCCCCCAAGAGGCCCCCAAGAGACGCCCCAGAGGCCCCGAGAGGCTCCAAGAGGCTCCCCAGAGGCCACACGAGGAGCCCGAACGACTCACACCACGCCGTGGGGCCCCAACGACTCACACCACGAAGAGCCCGAACGACTCACACCACAAGGAAGGGCCCGAACGACTCACACCAGGACGAGGCGCCCGAACTACTCACACCACGAGGAGCCCGAACGACTCACACCACGACGCGGGCCCCCAACGACTCACACCACGGGAAGCCCGAACGAGTTACACCAGGAGGAGGGGCCCGACCGACTCACACCAGGACGAGGGGCCCGAACAACTCACGCCACGAGAAGCCCGAACGACTCACACCAGGACGAAGAGCCCGAACGACTCAAACCACGAAGACCCCGAACGACTCACACCAGGAAGAAGGGCCCGACAACTCACACCAGGACGAGAGGCCCGAACGACTCAAACCACGAGGAGCCCGAACGGCTCGCACCAGGACCAGGGGCCCGAACGACTCACACCACGAGGAGCCCGAACGACTCACACCAGGAAGAGGGGCCCGAAGGACTCACACAAGGACGATGGGGCCGAACGACTCACCCCACGAGGGGCCCCAACGACTCCCACCAGTCGTCGTCGTCGTCGTCGTCGTCGTCGTCGTCGTCGTCGTCGTCGTCGTTCGTCGTCGTCGTCGTCGACGTCGTCGTCGTCGTCGTCGTCGCGGTTGTGGTCGTCGTCGTCGTCGCGGTCGATATCGTCGTCGTCGTCGGGTGCGTCGTCGTTGTTAGGATCATCGCTGTGGTCGTCGTCTCCGCTAAATCCCTCTTGCCTCCCACCGCTTTCTCTCCCTCCTCCTCCGCCTCGTCCGTCTCCCGCTCCCACCACAAGAAGGATGTACAAGGAGGCGGGAGGAAGGAGGAACAGGGGAGATATGCGGGGGCAGGCGGAAACACGCCTGAAAAACACGACTGTCCGCATGCTTCGCAAGACTCGCTGTTTTGAGATGGGCTGGTGGGGATACGCGAAGCGTGAAGAATTTCGATACTGCTTCACGACAGCGCCAAGGCCTCATGACTTAGCTCTTCCATGGCCCATTCTCCGAGAGAGGGGGCTGGCGGCAGGGGGCGAAGCCCTTACGGATATGACAAATACTCAAAAAATAATCCCCATACTATTTTTGGACTATGCTTGGACTATTTTGGGGGTATTTTCCGCAGCGCTCTGGAGCGCTGTGAGAGCGCTCTGGAACGCTCTGGAGCGCTGTGATAGCGCTCTGGAACGCTCTGATAGCGCTCTGAGAGCGTTCTGGAACGCTCTGGAACGATTTTTCTCGGTCCTGGGTCCGCCCGATCCGATCTGGGCGTCACTGTTGTCCTCGCCCCGAAGGTTTTCGCTTGCTTCCGGGCCCTGGGGCCCTCCGGATCGACACGGCCTGCAAGGTGTCGCCCGTATTACGGGACTGGGGCCCCGGTCGCGCTGTGCCACGCCGTTTTCGCGACGTCGGATCTCAGGGATGGCCCTCCCAGGCTTTCCAGGGCGGCCTGGAGGGTCTCACCCCTCACGAGGCCCCCGAGGGTCCCGGGGGGGGGGCTCCCGAGCGGTCCCAGAAGCCAGGGTCAGGGAGCACTAAACCGGGCAACGCCAAAACGGGGTAACAGACCCACCATGGGATCCAGGTGGAAAAACTGCAACGACCAGAACAAAAAAATGCACTGCATGTTTCTGCAACTCAAAAGAAAAACTGCACTGCAATTTGTTGGCAACTAGTTGCGGGCAAACTGCAAACAAGCCCCACAGACTGGGCAACCCATGGCCCAAAACAGAAAGTTGCAGTGCAGCAGCCGAAAGTGTTCAACGCAGCCAGCACATGTGGAGGGTGCTGCATCGGACGCGAAATCACGAAAAAAACAGCACTGCAACAAAAAGGCCATTTGATGCGTCGAACAAGCCGTTTCCTGTTACCCCGCCTGCTGTTATACCCCGTCTCTGGCTCCCCGACAGGGGGCACCTCGGGCCTCGGGCCGGGGCCGCCCCCGGCAACCTCCGAGAGGAGGGCGAGGGCGATCATGCACGAGAAGATGGCGCGGCACAGGGTGGTCCTGCTCGCGGGGAGGGGGGGGGGGGGGGCGGCTGCGCGGGGGGAGAGGCCTGCCCCAGGCAAGGGGGAGCTGGCGACGCGCCCCCGACGGCGGCACGGCACGGGACGCACAGAGAGACATGCCCAGCACCACATGGGCGTCCTCCTTGGAGGCGCGCGCGCCCGGCACGAACATGCCGCGGACCCATCTTGCAGAGCAGCGCTTCCCGAGCGGTGTGGCCAGCAAGCGCCCGCCACGAGGCATAAACCCTTCAGAGTCTTCGGTGCGCGCGTCGCCCCCCGGGGGGGGAGGGGGGTTGAGCAGGGACCGACCGTCCCGGCATTCCTATAGTCCTACCACGCAATGTTCTTAGAACTCCAAAATACTCCAAAAACAAAAACCATGTTCCTAGAATATAAGCCCGATGTGATAAACAAGACAGTCCCAACCAGAAATGTTCGAAGAACATTTCGTGGGAACCACAAACCGTTCTTAGAACATACTATGAAGTTGAAACAGGGGACCGGGAAACATCGGATCCGCGGACCCCGCAAACCGCCCGAGTTAAGATTCTATGGGGGAAGGAGGGGGTTCGGTAATCAACTTTCCACGATGGGCCCTGCGTCGTCTCGCGCACTCCCATCAACTCCCCGCGCGAGCGGGCCCCATTCAACATGAATACATACATCCCTCTCCCCCCGGTTGCTGCAAAGATCTCGTACGGTCGCCGTCCGTTCGGCGGCGCCGACGTTGTCTCGCGAACTCCTCAGGGCCATTTTCACCTCAAGAGGAAAATCTTTCGTCCTGCGTAAGAATGTTGGGGAGACGCCGACGGCAGCGCTGCAGCACGGGCACGAGCGGGGCGCGCCAGGCACGCCCCGGGCGGCGCTGGGATCGGCGCCCGCGGGCCAGCGCATCCCGCCCCCCGCCGTCGTCCCCCGAAGGCAGCGCACCGGAGGCCGCTCTGGCGGAGGGCCGCCCTTCGCGCGCCGCAGTCGAGGGAGGCCCCAGCTGGCTGGCTGCACGCCCGCACGCGCCGAGAGAACTCCTGCCCAGAGGGGTCCCGGCAGGTATCTTCGATGAGAAGCAATAGAATGACCCCTGACCCTTCGGGAGGGGTTTCAGTTGGGAGGGCCAAAAACATTAGGGATAGGGGGTCTTTCTGCAGATGTGCCGAACCAAACCGCCCAGATTCATTATCCCTAGTGCAAAGACGGGGCCTACGTAAGGCCACGTCTGTTCTTTTATTCCCGATGACTCGAGGCGAGGCGGGGTCCATGGATTGCTGGCACGGTAAGACGGAGCCAAGACAAATACAAAACCGGATGAGGATAGATCGGGAATCTCTGAGATCCGGAGGCTCTGAAGGACGTCTCAGGCGCCGCGGCCTTCTCAGAGCGTTCGGGGACGCTCTGCCAGCCTTCCGGAACGCGCAGGAGGAACGGATTTGCCCCTCGTCCTGGCCCCGTCCGGCATAGGGGCCTCCTGGCCTGGGCCTCCAGCCTGGGCCCGAGGCCGGCCGGGCCCGGAAAATCGGCGCCGAGACATGGCCCTGGGAACGCGCGGATGGAGCACCTTCGATCGCGAACATGCATGAAGGGGGCGTGGATTAGCGACGGGTCCCGTTTCCGTGGGACATCGCGGAGTTCCGCCGCCGAGCGAGGCCGGCACCGGCCGCATTTTGGGGAGGGCACCTCCCCCGATCCACGTATTTGGCGACCGCGCGCCACATCCATGGATCGCTCATCCATGTTTGCGCGCCCCCGACACCTGGGTCCCTTCGCCGCGGGCCCAGTGCCCCACGGAGACGTCCAGGTCGATGAAGGCTCCAGGATTGGACCAGCGCCTGCCACTGCTCGCAGAGTGACTGCTCGCAGGTGGCCTGGATGCGCCGCGGGGGATCTGCGGTCCATTACGTCGAGGCGAACATGTGTGTTTCGGACGTTTGCGAGTAGGCGCCTTGCGAAAAGTGGAACGCGCTCGGTGAAGGATGGAAGCTGCGAGCACGAAGAACCATACAGTCCACCCGTCTGACAAGGACGCACGATAAGGATGCAAGGGCCTTGGAAGGATATGTCGACACCGTGCGAGCGGGGTGCGGCCAGTGCAAGCGGCCAAGGGTGGGCCGAAGGGGAAGGATGCAGGGGCAACCTTAAAAAGCTGCTCATCCTTACTGTGCGGGTTGACTGCAGTGAGGGCAACTGCCCGTCGGCTGTCAATCCAGCGCTGCGGATGAAAATACAAGGTTTAGGTCGGGCATGTTTTCTTATGGGCGGAGGTTGGAAGGAAATGCTCACAAATAGTCTTAAATAGAAAAAAACACGTCCCCAGACTATATTGTTGCTGTTTTTGAGAATTCTTCCTGTAGAGGGACAGGCCCGACTTAACTCGGGGGCGGTCAAGGGCGGGGCGTCCCAGCGGGGGAGCGCAAACAATGGCCGGCGGCATATGCGCGGCCCGGGGGGGGGGCCGGGGACATGTTGAAATAAGAAGAAGCGCCAGGAAATCGGGGGAGATATCATGACCCCCGCCATGATATCCACCCCTCGAATCTTATGTTGCTCCCGTCGAACTTAAGGACCACATCCCCAAAATAATTTCGAGCACCCGAAAAAGTATCGAAACGGTGTCGAAACAATGTCGGGCGCGTGTCTCCCAGGGCCCGACACGCGAAAACCCTCCGATTGCGGCACTTTGTTCCTGATGCTCGAAATTGTTTCGGGCGGTCAAGGCTAAAGCAGGTTGTAACATCATAACCCCAGTCATCACCCCCTCCTGGCCGCCCCCGACGTAGGAGGCACAGGCCGGACTCAGAAGGAGGAGGAGGAGGAGGAGGAGGAGGAGGAGGAGGAGGAGGAGGGGGAGGGGGAGGAGGAGGAGGGGGAGGAGGAGGAGGAGGAGGGGGAGGAGGAGGAGGAGGAGGAGGAGGAGGAGGAGGAGGAGGAGGAGGAGGTGCGGCGGGCGCTCCCCGAGGCGGCCCGCGGCCCCCGGGGTCCTGCGGCCCAGCACCAGCAGCTCCGTGCTCCAGGCCTCGGGGCCGAGGGCGGCCGTGGCGAGGCACACGCCGACGATGATGAACTCGGCCTCCGGGGAGAGGAGGGAGAACTACAGGGCAATTCTTAATACATCGGATTTTGTTTGTAAGATCGGATTTTAAAATACGTGATTAATATATGTGAATAGATGTATGCATGGACTCATCGTTGTTTTTAACCTGCATGTTTAATACATGATCCGCACGCGGAGCATGTATTTAAAACGGCACTGTACGCACGTACACCGATGCTGGCCAGGACCATCCTGAGCCCAGGATCGGTGCATAACGCCCTTTTGCCTTGGCCAGGAAGGTATATGCACCGATCCTGGGTCAAGGATGGGCGTTGTCAGGATCGGTTCATGTGCATGGTTCTCTTCGCCCGATCTGGGGAGACCAAAATCGGCGGCCCCACAATCGGGGCCCCCCGAACGGGGTGGTGACCACACCGCGCGGTGAGTCGGTGGGGATTCGGAGTCACCGCACGGTTTTGGGACTCCGGTCGTTCTCCGAGGACGTCTCGGGCGACAAGGCCTTCCAGGGTCCCAAGACCGTGTGGTGACGGACCGTGCGGTGAGGTCTTGGGGGATGTTGAGGTCACCGCAAGGTCTGTCACCGCACCGTTTCGGGACTCCAAACAAAAGGTGTGGTTTGCAACTGGCACCCTGGGGAACATCCTGGGGGGCACCCGGAGGTGCGCGCGGGGACCTCGATAGGGTTCCCCGCGCTCCGAGGAGGCCCGACGAGGGCAGTGTCGTGCCCCCCAGGCCCCAGCAGTGCCGATCGCAAACCACACCCCGGCGTAACCATACCCTTTGTAGTCGCCGACAACAGGTACCGATACCGCTACTCCCCGGACCTCTCCCGGGGTGCCTTCTGACCAGAATTTCGAGGCGAATCCAGCGGTGGCAACGAGGACCTCCCAGAAGGCCCCCCAAAAAGGGAAAACGGGGAAGGGTAGAGGTATGGGTAGTTACCTTTTCCTCCCCGGAGCCTCGGTGATGCCGCGCGTGTCCATCACGCCCGACAGCGCCTGGTCCACTTGCGCGCAGTACCACGCGGCCGGGACCGCGAAGAAGCCCAGGAAGACCTCGGCGGCGCACGCCCACGCGCAAGGCGCTGTGGCGCGGCCTTCCAGCCGAGACGTCCGGCGACTCGATGCTTTCGATGCGTGGGCCCCCAGACCTCTCGGCCCCCTGCCCAAGGTCAGTTGCTTCTTGACGGCCCGAGGCCCGATGCTACACCATGAAGATGCATACACGGACACCCTGCGACGAACTTTGCATGTGCCTTCAGGGAGGGGACGGTGTACAGAATCGCTGCATCCCAGTGGTGACTCATACACCGCCACCCTCCCCCGAGGCCCAGGAACAATCCAGTGCGCCTGCGCTTCTTTGCTCTGGAGACACTGGCCCGAAGCCAAGCACGACGACAAATCGACCGCCCCGAGGCTCGCCACGCCACCGGACGCCCCTCCGAGAGGTAGTGCGCAAGACGAAGCCAGGACGCGGACAACATCGGGCGAGGACCAAATCGAGAATCTCGGAGATCTCAGCCGTTCTGAAGGATACGCCAAGCGCCGCGGCCTTCTGCGAGCGTTCCGGAACGCCCCGAGAGCCTTCCGGGACGCTCTGGAACGGAGTCATCCTCGTCCGAGCCCCGCCCGAGGAGCGGCTCTGCTTACAGGAAGAAGTAGGTAACAACAAGGAGTAGGAAGGCTGATAAAGTGGACTGTCCAGGCCCTCCCAGAGAATAACAAAATACAGCAAAAGCATGTCGATTCTTGAAATAGGAAGGCGCTTGAAGAAGATTGGGATCTGGGAATCCAAAGATACCTACTTTCAACGACCAGCGTGTACCCGGGCAACCCCTCCACCCTGAGACTGGGACCCATTCGAAAAGCCTCCCCAGAGCTGACCCCTCCCGGGGTCCACCTCTGCGAGCTGCGCCTGGCCCAGGCCACCAGGGACCCCCAGGAATGCCCCCCCCCCCCCCCAGAAAAAAGGCGCCCAGCAGAAACGAGACCTCCCCCCTCTCCCCCACCCTCCGCAGACCATGGGGTCGGTGACGGGGCCCGCGAGGCCCTCCCGGTCCATGGTCAGCACCGTGATGGCTGTGAACAGCACGATCATGAGGGCGTCCAGGCCGTGATCCAGCAGAGCCCCCAGCGGGCTGCTCAGCTTGCGCGCGCGGGCCACCTTCCCGTCCATCGCGTCGAGCGTCTGGTACGCGAGCATCAGCGCCGCCACCAGGAGGTGTACCCCAGGGCAGGGCGGCGCGGCCATGAGGAGCAGCACCGAGCCGGCGCCGCAGCAGAAGCCGACCAGGGTGAGCAGGTTCGGCGAGACCCACCGCGGCGTCCGCTGGGCCAGCGACTCCCAGAACGGGTTCAGCCACTCGTCCAGCGGCGTGGAGCCGGCGGTGGAGTACTTGAAGGCGGCCACCTGGAGGGAACAGGAAGGCAGGACTGGTGCACAAACGTAAGCTTTCAGAAGTCCGCGTCGGTTTCTTGAATCGGCGCTGGACCCCCACGCGCTGGGGGGTCCAAAGCCGATCCAAGAATCCGCCCAGACCTCCAAAATTGTATGTATTGTAACTACGGAGGCAGTTATTGTGATTGTGAGAACTACTCAGTATACGGATCGATAGTGCTTCTCAAGCTTCGATTTGATTCAAAGTGCTGTTTACTTCTTCCTTCGTCGCATTCGCAGTCGCATTCATAGTACCAGACGCACTGTTGTTCTTATTAGTAGTACGCGAGAGAGAGAGAGAGAGAGAGACACAACAAAAAAAGGGATGGGGAGGAGGCCAGGCAAGGAGAAGGACGGGGAAGGAAGGGGCTCTGCGCAGAAAGGCACATCTTCACCACCGCCAGGCCTGGCGCCACGGCCACTCTGGGGCCCTGGCAGTGTGCATGCGCCCTTCTGGTCAGGGCCAGGAGGGTGGATGCACTGTCCTGGGGCCCGAGAGGCACAATGTGGCCCTGTCCAACCTCGGTGGTGTGCAAGTGCTTTGTGTGGAGGAGGAGGAGGAGGCGGAGGAGGAGGAGGAGCAGGAGGAGGAGGAGGCGGAGGAGGAGGAGGAGCAGGAGGAGGAGGAGGAGGAAAAGGAGGAGGAAACGGAGGAGGAGGAGGAGGAGGAGGAGGAGGAGGAGGAGGAGGAGGAGGAGGAGGAGGAGGAGGAGGAGGAGGAGGAGGAGGAGGAGGAGGAGGAGGAGGAGGAGGAGGAGGAGGAGGAGGAGGAGGAGGAGGAGGAGGAGGAGGAGGAGGAGGAGGAGGAGGAGGAGGAGGAGGAGGAGGAGGAGGAGGACGACGCCCAGAATCCGCTCTAAATCTGTCCCCGGAACCGCCCCGGGGTCCGCCCTGGGCAGCTCACCACCTGGGGCAGACTCTCGACCGCCCTGCGGCCCGAGGCAGGCCTCCCGAGGCAGAGCAAACACGCGCAACGGACAGCGTCCCGGACCTCCAGCCTCGCTTGTACCGCGGGGGGGGGGGCGAGCAGGAAGTCACGTGCTCGCGCGCGTCGGGGCCATGCGTCCCTGTCCTTCTGCGCGCAAGCCGTCAGTATAGCCACGCAGGCTCATGTGAGAGCCCCGCGGGCGACGAGAACGCCGGACGGGCACTGGCAACAACTGCTTCGACGCGCCTCCAGCCCCGTCGCCTGTTGCCTCGGCTTGGCCACTGCGACCTGGGCCCCTCGACCCCTCGACCCCTTCCCTTGAAGCCGGCGCTCTCGTCCCGAGCTGCTTCCAGAGCCCATCGGGGGTTGCTGAGGGTGCCCCTGGCCCAAGGTGCCCCCAGCTTTCAGCTCCATCCTGGAGCCCCTGGGGCCCCCTGGGCCTCGCGAGGGGTGCTCTGTGGAGGCCGTGGGGGCCTCCCTGGAGATGCCGGGGGCACACGGCGGGCCAGGGGCACCTCCACGCCCGAAGCCAGGAGCGGGCGCGCCCCTGCCCGGAGCCAGCGCTCCCCTGCTGCCGCCGCCGCCCATCGCGGAGACGCGCGCTAGAAGGGGTGGGTGTGCCCGCGCGGGCGCCACCAACCCCTTCTACATGACGGCGGCACAGAAGCAAGCCAACCAGCCTCCCAAACGAACCACAACGCATCGCGCGACCCCCTCTCTCCCCGCGTGCCTGCCGCGGGGTGCGCTCGGCGGTCTGCTGTCGAGGCTCAGTGGGCGCGTGGGCCCGTCGGGCTCCTGCCATCGCTCGGACGCCCGGCCCCCTGCCTGCCTCTCTCGGTCTCGTGCGCCCACGGGGTCCAGGACGGCCCAAGAGGCTCCACGGCGGTCCTCGCCGAGGAGAGGCGCACGCGTCCGAGCGCTGCGCGGCCGGAGTGCCACGCCTCGTCTCTCTCTCTCTCTCTCTCTCTCTCCGCTGCCGCCCCCCGTGCCCGAAAGGCTCGTGTCGTGCCGACCCCGGCGCCGATCTCCGACGCCGCGCGGCTCGTTCCACACCGAGCGGTCGGCGGCTCTCCGATCGCCAGGTCTCTCCACAGCGGCGGGTGCCCGGGCCTCTCGTGGCGTTCGTCCCCGAGGGCCCGCGGCGGGGCCGCCGCCGCGTCGACGCGGCACGGGCCTGCCGTGGCCGACTCGTGGACTTGAGTGGGCAGGGCAGATCGTCGGGCTGGTGCCGCGTTTACCAGGTAGGAGCTGGACTCCTGCTCTCCCACGGGCCTCTGACGCTGGGAAGGAGGCAGACAGCAGGGAGCCCTTACATTCGTCGCCGTTTCATTCGTCGTCGTCGTCGCCGTCGCCGTTCGAGGCTTTCTCCTGAGTCTCCTCCTCCAACGCGCCGGCCGCTGCCTCTCTGACCCTGGGCCTTCCTCTTCAGGCGTGCTGGCCCAAACGACAAGGACGAACGCCGCAATTCAGTCGAAGGGAGGAAGCCCCTTCCCTTGATCCCTTCCCCGCCGGGGGGGGGTCCTGGGGGGTGGTCCTGGGGGGGGGGGTCCAGGAGGAGACCTGGGGGAGACGCGGGGAGGGGTCCCGGGCAGAATTCCCCCCCCCCCCCCCTGTCCCAAAGCCGACCCCCCCCCAAGACGAGCCAAGACTGCCCCAAGAGGCCCCGATGACGATCCTAAAGGGCCCCGAATCGCCGAACTATCGGTCCAAGACGCCAAAGTAGCCTCCAGACGGCCCAAGAGGTTTCCAATACGCTCCAAGAGGCCTCCAAGAGCACTCCCAAGGGGGCCCCAAGAGGCAAAAATGATTTGATCTGGCCTAAGCTTTTATTAGATTTTGGGAGTCTCTCCTTTTCGGTTTCCTGACACTCCAAGACGGCCCAAGAGGCCCCCAAGATCGCCCCAAGAGGACCCCAAGATGGCCCAAGAGGTCTCCACGATGGCCCAAGATGCCCCCAAGACGGCTCCAAGAGTGCCCAGACGGGGGACCCGAACGGACATTTCGAGCCCTCGGCCTGAGAGGCTCCAAGGAAGCAGCGCCAAGAAGCTCCCAAGACGCCCCCAAGAAGCCCCCAAGATGCGCCCAGGAAGCCCCAAGAGGCCCCAGGAGCCCCCCAAGAGGCCCCCAAGAGGCTCCCAAGAGGCTCCCCAGAGGCACCCGAGAGCGCTCCGAAGAAACCCCAAGAAGCGTCCCTGATGACTCTGACCCACGTCAGCATCGTCGTCGTCGTCGTCGTCGTCGTCGTCGTCGTCGTCGTTCAGGGTCGGCGGCACCGGCCGTAAGGCCTCTCCAATAGGGCTGGCTATGGACGGATGGCCCTGCCGGGCCCCGTCTCGAGGACCAGCGTGGGCTGGGCCCCGCTAGCCGATTCACCCCCCTGGACGGGGGTCTGGGCTGCTCTCTTCGGGTTTCGAGGGGCAGATCCCTCACTGAGGCGGCGAGGCGGCGGGGCTCGAGGGTGTGGATGGGGACGGGGATGGGGATCGGTCACACGATGCCGAGGTGAGGTCTACCCTGATCCGCTCTCCCCGGCGGACCCAGCCGTGGCGGCGAGGAGCGTCCAGGCGGCCCGGCAGGGACGGACGACAAACTCTGGGGAGGGCTGCCGTGGCCTCGACTCGTGGCCCTGCCCCGAGACTCCCGCGGCGGCCTGCCGCAGGTCCTCCTCGGAGGGCCGCCAAAACGGGTTCGAAGTGCAGTCGGACCAAGGGGGTTTGAAGTGCAGTCGGACCTAGGCCAGAAGAGCATCCCTCAAGAACAGGAGACCCTCCGCCGGCCACAGTGGAGAGCATTCGACGGTGCCCTCTACCCTCCACCAGGATGCACAAGAGCATCCAACAAACACGAACAATATTAGGGTGCCCCCCCGAACGGACCTCGATCTTATACCTCGGCCCGACTGTATATCGGGCCGCGGGATCGTGCCCCATCGCCGATGCATCTGCGACATCGGGGGCGCGCAAACATGGATTAGCGATGGCGCGCCGTCGCCTAATCCACGGGTCGGGGGAGGTGCCCTCCCCAAAATGCGTCTGGTGCCGCCTCGTTCGGCGACTGAAATCCGCGATTTCCCATGAAAACGGGACCCGTCGCTAATCCACGCCCCCTTAATCCATGTTTGCAATCGCCTGAGATCAGGGCCCTCCGAAAACGCAGATCGTTCAGTTTTGGCCGATGGGCCCCTGGCGGCGCCCAACCTTGAAACGCCCGCGGCAGGGCCGCCGCCGCGTCTCGCTTGAGACAGCCCCCATCCCCAGCTCGGGGAGGCGTCGTGGACCTCTTCGCTGGAGGTGGCTGGTGATAGAGATAGCGAGTGGTTAACCATGCAAACAGTCCTCCAATGGTACCGTATTGCCACTTACGTCGGATTGATAATTTCTGAGTTTGCACATGTGGTGGTGGTGGTGGTGTCGCTTCTTCTTCTTCCTCCGAGAACCTGCCGCACTTCGATCCCTTCTGTAGAGGAAGAGACGTAAACCTCCGCATAAGCACAAACTGTCGGAGGCCCGCGTGGATTTCTTGGATCGGCGCTGGACCCCCCTCCCTGGCGCGCGGAGCGCGCCAGGGGCGGTGTCAGAGGCGCCGCCATGGGGGCCCGGTGCCGATCAAAGCAACATCCGCGCGGACCTCCGAACGTTCATGTTTATGCCGCGTCCTCTTCTTCGGCCCTGGGCGGCCTGGGTCTGGGGAGACCAAAAAGTACTGGTGCCGCTGGGCCCTGGGCCTCTCCCGGGGAGGCCCCTCCCAGGGGAAAACGCGGCAAGGGCAGCGGTGGAAGAAGAAGACGAAGAAGAATAATAACAACAACGATCTGCGCCGGCCCCCCCCCTGGAGCGCGGAGCGCGCCAGGGGCGGCGCTGGAGGCGCCGCCAGGGGGGCCCAAGCG